ACACAGAGCTGAGCAGCTGAAGGTTAAGTGGCTCTCTGGTAGTCCAGGGACCGACCGTAAGCACCGAGCCACCGCCGCGTGGGTAAGATCCCAAATTCTACGCGTATTATAAGATTTAAAAAGGGCGGATTTGAAAGATTTGGTGGACTGAGAGACAAGTGCCCGCAGAGCAGCGAGGAGTGCTGTGTGAAACTCTTTAAGTGCCTGATATAATACACAGCAGAGATTCTCTTTTTCCTCGCCATCTTCCTCTGTCTCTCGCTCGCTTCCAGCAATCACAAAGTGTGCTGTTGTTCGGTCAGATACTGTTCGCTGACAGTCAAGAATACTTCAACATGCTGTTCGTTCTAATAAAATGAGTAAGGAATAAAACACTTGGCGGTCTGCTGTTGTAGTAAAAGAATCAATGACTGGGTGGTGTGATGAGCCCCGAAGGGAAGCTGACCATCGAGGGGTTGATTATTTTCTAATAACAACATCCAAGTGTGTTTTATTCCTTTCATACCCCAGCCATTTGCCAGTGATTACATTTTTTTAAATAAAGCACAGAATGGCACGTCAAACTTTATATCCATTTTATAGGTTTAACGTTGTGGAAAATGTGCAAAAACGGGTTAATTCCTGTTAGCGCTTACGTTGTAGCAGCTGTAAACATGCGTCTCCACATGAGGTTCTTTATTTTTTTGATTATTACCAAGAAACTCGAAAGTCCTGAAGACTTTGAAGACTCGCTCCTTAAACGATAAATCAACGTTTTCGTACAGAAAACATCGCTATGTCCGTAATTACAGGTTGTTCGTTGTCCAATAAGGTTAAATATTAGATCATATGGAGGTTTTTTTTTCTTCCCATACACGTCCCTGAGAGACAGTTACTCATCACTGTAGAAAAGATAACGCATTCGAATGAGCACATTCATAGACATGGATTTGCAGCTGCGTTACTGTGAGTCCTAATGAGTCCTTTCCGACCAATCAGATTCGAGAATTGATCAGCACAGCGACAAAAAACCTAACCCTTCGTGCTTAACGATTGTTTTCAACCGTCCGGTCTCAGATCCTGACGTGACGTCTTGTTAAACTCCCACGAGCCTTTTCTTTTCTAACCGCACACTGAATAAATCACCGTAGATACCGGGAATTTGAAATAAAAGGAAATGAAAAAGAAAAACTGGTTAAAAAATTATTAATTATTTTCTCGTTCTAGTATGATTTCATGAAAGTATTGCATGAATTCCTGTCTGGAATTCCACACCGGGTCTCAGGAAGATTTATAAAAGATGGGAAAATGGCAGGAAAATCTGTGTAAAAAATAACGATAATCTTTTTTTTTCCCCCTAATGGTTCTGCAAGCAGCAGATCACACTGTACGATTCCAAACGACTCTTGACCAGTGAAGAATGTTAATGAATCGTTCTTTTATTTCTATCTGATGGTTTTATTCTAACAAGCGTTCATGGAGCGTTGGAGCAGGATTGGTTACACTGTTTCTAATTCCATGTAGATAGCGAATCATAAGGAAAAATCCAAGATAAGATATCATTCATAGTTATAGCGTGTGACTTTAACCCTTTCATGCATGGTGGTCACTGCAGTGGACAGATATCAGTAGACTAACCGCGTAACAGCCGCTAGAGTGGACGCTAATTCTTCGTTCGAAGGCACGCAGTCCACTGGAGTGGACACTTCGATAAGTTTTGGGGAACTGTACGTAAAAGTGAAATGAATCCATGCATGAAAGTGGTTACACGTATAGACGAAAGACGTATAGATGTCGTCAGTGCTAGTCGTCTCCCTACATTATTGACGGAGAACTAAATTGTCCCAAACATTACTCCTGATCATTATTTCCAGCCGACGTTTTCCTTTTGACTGGCAGTGTAAACGAACCTTCCTACCGACCGCCATTTTGTTTACGATGTTACCTTTTCTAACGATCTGAAAATGTCACTTTCGGCTCGTGTCCTGGTTCTACCATCGAATCCGTGTCCGTGTAAACGTCCGAGGAGAGATCCCTCCGAATTAAGTGCCTGTTTATAGTACCGATCACGTACGCTACATTCATTCCAGCTCGTTTTGTAGATGAGTACAGCTCATGAGAGCGCTTTATCCGAAACACGATAAAGCAGCGGTCGCTGTGATGCTGGCGGTTTCATTAAGGGTGAAACTTTCCATTTTGTCCGTCCAAATTATTTATTGTGTTCCATTGCTGACGTCTTTCTTGTGTAACGGCTCTGTGCTTTATAATGTACGATACTCACGTGAACGTAAACGGGCGTTTCTCAAACGACGAAAGCGTACTGCGATTAGTTTGCTGTTGTACATGCCCGCTGATGTTCGTCATGTTTATAAAAACCCAATCCAAAGGTGCTAAATGTGTATACAGTATATACGATCAGACTCACGTTGTGGAATGTGTGGAATATATTTGGTTCTTTATGCCGTTTCGTCGTATGCTGTCGATATGCTAGTTTTACTGTACCACAGTATGCTGTCTTTACTACATTTTCAAATCACTAGTGTTTAAAACAGCAGCTATAGACCATGTGCTATTCATGATATTCAGTCTATGGCATGGCCAAAGACTATTCGTGGCATCATTACCTTTCTGATCATTAAAAACATTTTTAAAAAACAGTCGGAGAAATAGCATCATTTGACTTGAACGTGTTTTTAAAGCAATAAATCCAAATTTGACCACAGACTGCTGTTCTGTGTCGCTTGTGTTGATGTGGATGAAATGTGAGACTGAATCGCATAGCAAGGGGAGAATACGTCCATAAAAACGACTCGATTACTTCTATTATTAGAGAGATGTAGATTATTGTGTTTGCGTGTGTGTCTTTCTCTCTCTCTCTCTCTCTCTCTCTCTCTCTCTTTCTCTCTCTCTCTTTCAGTATCTAGCTCTCTCTCTTTCTCTCTCTCTCTCACTCTCTTGCTCTCTCAGTTTCTCTCTCTTTCTCTCTCTCTCTCTCTTTCAGTATCTAGCTCTCTTTCTCTCTCTCTCTCTCTCTTGCTCTCTCAGTTTCTCTCTCTTTTTTCTCTTTTCTTCAGTATCTAGCTCTCTCTCTCTCTCACTCTTGCTCTCTCAGTTTCTCTCTCTCTCTTTTTTTCAGTATCTAGCTTCTCTCTCTCACTCTCTCTGTTTCTCTTTCTCTCTCTCTCTCTTTCTTTCTCTCTCTCTCTCACTCACTCTCTCTCTTTCTCTCTCTTTCTCACTCTCTCTTTCAGTATCTAGCTCTCGTTCTCTATCTCACTCACTCTCTTTCTCTCTCTCTTTCACTCTCTTGCTCTCTGTTTCTCTCTCTCTTCTTCTCTCTCAATCTCTCTTTTTCACTCTCTCACTCTCTTTTTCTCTCTCTTTCACTATTGCTCTCTCTCTCTTTCTCAGTCTCTCTCTTTTTCACTCTCTCACTCTCTTTCTCTCTCTCTCTTTCACTCTTGCTCTCTCTTTCTCAATATCTCTTATTTCACCTCTCTCTTCTCTCTCTCTCTCTCTCTCTCTCTCTCTCTCTCTCTCGCTTCCTCTTTCTCTCTCTCTCTGTAGTGTCAGGCATGTTGGGTCATGATCTTCACACAGTCGCTAAAGTATTTAGGTCAGATAAAGGTGTGGAGAGGAAGTGTACATTCAGGCACATATTCTCTTTCTCTCATCACTTCCTGCCAGACTACAACAGCACACACCTACTTTGCTCATAGAGTGAGTGTATCTGTTTGTATATGCATACACTAAATGGCCATTGTTGGCTGGTTATATTTTTCGAAAGGGGGGCAAAAAATTTTGTACCCATTCCTTTAAATATTAAGCAACCATTACGGTTGAGCCGTACAGCATGGGGTTCCAGAGTACCGGCATAAAACTATTATTCATACACACAGGAACACACTGAAGCCCTTCTTTAACTGTTACACGTCTACTCATGCTGTGTGTCTTTCAAATAGCAAATCGATTTTATTTGACGTACATACAGTACAAATGAAAGGCTGTCTTTCTGAGAAAGTCAATAAGTTTCTGTCTTCGAATCTGCCTGTCCACTGAGCAGCTGGGAATTAAAAATAATAATAATAGTGCCTGGTATTATGAGTTTCTACAGTTTCGTAGTTGCAGAATATCCGATAGTGATACTACCAGTATCTAGCCTACTCAGGAAATCCCACAAAGCATGACAGTAGGCAGTCTCCACAGGATGTCCTCTAGGCTAGAGATCTCCCACAGTCTACCGTTCGACACAGACGGTGAATAAGGGGCAGTTTCAGACACGTCCACAATGTGGTGCTGGAACCTTATATAAACGTATCTGTAACTAACTAGCGTTATAAAGTATGATACGTTCCTGATTTCTCAAATGTAATAGTGTATAGTCTGCCATTTCAAGAACATCATCGATCATACTGAACATGCCAGCTCAGCTCTGGTCCCGGACGACAGGAAGCACACAGATTTCTCCAGATATATCATGCTTGAGGAGAATCGGTCGTCTTTGAGCTTCAGATTAGAAAACTGAGCTAGAATCTGGACAGACAGGGGTAGGGTTGAGTATGTCTGTCACTCCGGTGATGAAGGCCAAACTCGACAATCACCTCCACATTACTGTACAGTAAACAATGTGTTCTTCTGCAAGGAGAGAACACAAGCATACACACACTGAGTAATGAGAGGATTTAAACTGACCTGAATGAATGAATGTTGAGGCTTCTGAGCTCTGAGCCATCATTACACATGATTGGGGTATGTGTGTCAGTGTGAACGTAGACAAATCTAAGCAAACTCAAAGACATTCAGGTCTCTACTTGATCGCTATAAAATGTGGCCATTTGATGTGTTTTAAACCAAACTTGATGGACCATTTCTGCTCTGAGTTGCTTTGTTGTTGTTGTTGGTTGTTTTGGCTGCTCCCATTCACTACATTGACATGGCACAGCCGGATGCCCTTCCTAACACAACCCTCCTCATGTATCCAGGCTTGGGGTTGGCACTGAGAGTGCACTAGCCTGGGTTGGCACCCAGTGTGGGGCTCAAACCCACAATTCTGCAATCAGGAGTCCCATACTTGACTAGCTGAGCTAGCTGGGCACTGTTCTGAGGTGCCTGGAATACTATTAATACATTACTGACATCTTGTGGTGAGAGGTGTTACTACACAGCTGGGTGGTGAAATTCTTCTGCCTGACAATATCCAAAGTGGGCTCTGGGGTCAAGGAAATTACACCTGTCTTATAACCTGGAACACATTTTACCATCATGGGGCTGTGTCAGTTGATGAATGAATGAAATGTAATGGCAAACTGATGACACTCAGTGAATAACCCATGACGAACTGAAGAACCAATGAAATTCAGTGAATGACTGGTGAGGAACAGGAGAACTAAATGGTAAAATGGTGCACTTATATAGCGCTTTTATCCAAAGTGCTTTACACTGTGTCTCATTCACCCATTCACACACACTCACACACCAGTGGTAGCAGAGCTGCCATGCAAGGCGCTAACTTGCTATCGGGAGAAACTTGGGGTTCAGTGTCTTGCCCAAGGACACTTCGGTATGTGGAGTCACGTGGGCCGTTAATCGAACCGCCAACCCTACGATTAATTCACAACCCACTCTACCACCTGATCCACAACTGCCCCTGATGGTATTCAATATAGAACTGATGCATTTTAATGAATATCTGACGAGGAACTGATGAAATTTAGTTCGGATTATAATGGATAGGAATTCTGGAAGACATGAGAACATTGAATTACCTGATAAACATTGAAAGAAATGAAGAAATGAATAAACAATTAGGAACGGATGAAATGTAATTAGCTGATTAAGAACTGATGCAAGTGATTATAGGACAAATGAGGAAATTATTCAATTCAATTTAGAGCTTGAAATTCAATAAATAACCGATGAGGAACTGATGAAGAGCTGGTGAAATTCAGTAATGAACTAATGAGGAAATGAAATTGAATGAAGAACTGATTAAAACTCGTCCTTATTCGGGCGGTATTTGATTCCGTAGTCTTTCTGCCTTAAAGATTTAAGGAGATAAGTAGGTAATGTTCTATGCAGACCCGAGGCTCTTTCTGCTTCCTGTATGAGAGTAACGTGTGTGTGTGTGAGAATGGCTGCCTGTCAATGCTGTTTTTAACACACCTTCAGGGAATGCCTGTCACCGTCTTAAGGGCATTTCACAGCTGTATGAGCTCACGTGACATTTGTGAAGTGAGAACGTGTGAGCCTGGGGTGTCGGGTCAACATCAGTGAAGACTTCAAGAACATCTATCCGTCCATCCATTTTCTGTACCGTTTACCCTTACTGGGTCGCACGTAACCAGGCAAGGAGCATGGGGCACAAGGCAGGGGACACCCTTCCATGGGGCCAATCCATCGCACAAGTCACACACCAATTCATACACTACGAACACTTTGGACATGCCAATCATCGTACTATGCATGTCTTTGGACTGGGGGAGGAAACCGGAGTACCCGGAGGAAACCCCATCAGCACGGGGAGAACATGCAAACTCCGTATACACGGGACAGCGGTGAGAACCCCCGACCCTGGAGCTGTGAGGCGAACATACTAACCACTACTCCACCGTACGCTCCAAGAACAAAATAATACAGAGCAATAAAATAGCACACAGTGATGTAGGTCCAATGAAGTGAACAGCTTCATCTTTTTTCTTTATTTATCTGTGTGTGTGTGTGTTGTTTATAGACCTGGAAGAGATTTACATAAACTGTCCACAGCTGAACCATCCATTACTGTTCAAATTCCACCATATTTCTTTCAAGTCAGAGTTAATAATAGTACTCAACAGGAAGCCATAAATGATCACGATATAATCAATGTCTCTCGCCATGGTAACCAAGGCTAAAGGTTTTCTTAGGCAGTCTGCTTTCTCTCACACGCTCTCCAGAGCCAAACAAGAGAATGTCTCCATCGCCATTCTAGTCACATGTTTAGAGCAGTGATGCCCAACTGCGGTCCTGTGCGTCTGACGTTCAGCATGGTTTAGTGATCTCGCTGCTCACACGCAGCGGATTCATTACTTCAGATTTAGTAGGTACATTAGAACAGGACAAGCAGCAAGTCATGCTGGACATACCTGAAAAACAACCGGAATGACCTGAGATGGAAAAAAAAAACAAAGCTTTAGTAGCACAAGCTCTGGGTGGGGCAGATGAAGTGATTTTCAATGGAGTCTTTTTTCTTTAAACCAGATGTGGCGTAAATAGTGAGGTAAAAAAAATATAAAAATAATGAATGAAACACAAAGGAGTGTGCTATTAGCTATAAACAAATACTCGACTACAGGGTGGTGTGTTGTGTTACTGTAATGTGAAGTGAGAGGCAGAACACGAGTCTATAGGAGTCATGAGGAGGCAAGAGATGAAAACCAGAAGGAACAAAACAGAAAAACGAGGCTCGGATACTAATTACGTAACAGAAAAAAAGCATCGCAGGACTTTACAATAAACAATGACACGGCAGGATATACATAGATATACTAATAGTAACTGAGGACAGACGCATAACCGGTGAACACAATCAAGTTCGAGTTCAAGTGGTGTTGAAACACGATGAAAAGAAGCTACATTCCTCCAGGACCACGGTGTTACGTAGAACACACACGAACCACATGAGACGAGAGAGAACTAAATCTACGTGCACTTTGTGTAGAACGTGTGCTAACAACACAAGACAGTACTAAGACAGGACAATGGGGACAGTAAGAGACAGTGTAGCGCCGAACAGTACACAGTTCCAGTGTAGAAGTGTCCGATATAACGGGTAGTGCAGAAGATAGGAGCCAAAGAGTAACAATATCATTTAAAAAGGGTATAAATGTGAACATGCTGGCACCCTGTCCAGGGTGTACCCCGCCTTGTCTCCGATGATTCCTGGGATAGGTTCCAGGTTCCCCGCGACCCTGAAGAAGGAGTAAGCGGTAGATGGATGGATGGATGGATGGATAAATGTGAACATAACATGCCATTTGTAATGATATTGTACAGGACAGGAGCGGAGTCTGTGTGAACTGCGCATTTCAGAAGTACATTGAGCAAAGCCTCCAAACCCACTCGTGTGTAACTGTTTTCGTGACCCAATGGTTATGTCTCACAGGTGGGAGAGGTAGGATTTGGAGGATGTGCAGGAAACTGCCGTCGTTGAAATGGTCATCCGAAACGAAGGCATAAAACGTATGGGACCATGTTCAATATGTACTGCAGTGAATTCGAAACAGTAGAGAGAGTCGTTCTTGTTTTGCAAAGAAATGAAACACATATTATATTATAAATAACCCCGTAACGCTCCTTGTTATTTGTGTTTTTTTTTTTTTTAGTAAGGTCGTTGTTTTGACGAGTGACAAAGTGAGCTGTGTTGTGGAAGAATGACTTGATTCGAGACATGCATGAAGTGTTTTGGTAGTTTTAGTGCGTTTTGGGTGTGAAACGAAATGCAGTGTGAAATTAAAACTGAACTCCAAGCTGAAAACAGAAAACAAAAAATGACCTAAATATCAAAACTGTAAAGAAAAACACATCATACTTTTTATCTATTTATAGTTACATTTCGACTGGCACCCTGTCCAGGGTGTACCCCGCCTTGTGCCCGATGCTCCCTGGGATAGGCTCAGGGTTTCATGCATGTGGAACATCAGAGCAACAAGCGCTAAGTTATGCTAAAGCAGATATAAAGAGCTATTCCATCACCAGGATCTTTTCTTCCCCTGTCTCTTGGAGGTAATGAGACAGCTTGGTACGAATAAATTCCAAATAACGATGACGATGACTGGCACCTTGTCCAGGGTGTACCCCGCCTTGTGCCCGATGCTTCCTGGGATAGGATCCAGGTTCCCCGTGACCCTGAGGAAGGAATAAGCGACACACCAGCCATACAATTCCCAGTATACACTGTTACTGTTACGGTTACTACTATCAGAGCTGCTGTTATAGAAACTGAATCAACACCAATCAGAAATCCGACAGTACTGTGGTATAAATATAAAGTAATCTCTTACTGCTTAAGCTTGTACTTAAGCCTAGATGAGCTAAGCATGAAGTGAAATTCATTGGAAGTACATTTTCAGCTTTTTTTTGTTTGTTTGTTTTGCATTCCTGTGTTCTTTCTCATCGGAAACATTTGCATACTGTGAGCTTTAAGGAAGTCCCACTAACAGATAGACTAGTACGATAATGTGGGAAAACAGGTCAAGATTGCACAACTGGTTTATGAGAAGAAAATAATATGACAGGGCATGAAAAGATATACCACAGCCAGCAAATTGCCAAGGATTTACTTATGATGCACTTTTTAAACATTTATAGTTACATTTAATGCTACAGAACATCCATGCAACGAGTTAGTTCATGTTTTTTTTTACTTTATAGCAGCTATAAACAGATGTTTGCTCACCAGCCTCTTTTTTTTTTTAACATTCTCATGAAGTTACGAAGACCGGCAGATTGTAATGTTACTGTTACGAAGCGCTGGAACTGGAGACTCCTTTCATAAACGTTAGCTAAACGTGTCTTAACGTTAAACTTCTTTGCTAAGTAACTAAGTAGGGGCAGTGGTGGCTTGGTGGTTGATGCTCTGGGTTACTGATCGGAAGGCAACGTAATGGCATCTACAGTGCATCCGGAAAGTATTCACAGCGCTTCACTTTTCCCACATTTTGTTATGTTACAGTCTTATTCTAAAATGCATTAAATTCATTCATTTCCTCAAAATTCTACAAACAATACCCCATAGTGACTATGTGAAAGCAGTTTGTTTGAAATCTTTGCAAATTTATTAAAAATAAAAAAAATAAAAAAAATCACATGTACGTAAGTATTCAATAAGTATATAATACCAAGTATTCACAGCCTTTGCCATGACACTCAAAATTGATCTCAGGTGCGTCCTGTTTCCACTGATCATCCTTGAGGTGTTTCTACAACTTGATTGGAGTCCACCTGTGGTAAATTCAGTTGATTGGACATGATTTGGAAAGGTACACACCTGTCTATATAAGGTCCCACAGTTAACAATGCATGTCAGAGCACAAACCAAGCCATGAAGTCCAAGGAAT